TGCTTCCTTAATAGTCCTCAATCGTTGGAAATGACCATTGCGGTGTAGCCAGAAATTTTTGGTAAAGCCAAAGTAAAGGCTTATAACTGAATTCCCTATTAGGTGGGCACCTGTGGCTTCACTTTGGTTAAATTTTATAAAAAATAGGATCTTTTGTACAAATTTTTGCTGAAGAAAACTGCGCTCCCGAAGTGTGTGTACCAAAATGAAGGTAACTAATTTTTTTCGGCCTATTTTACATCAGATTGTATAAAGGGACTGAAACCTATTGGCAGGGCTATATTCACTTACGGTACCTAAAACAGATAATCCATGAACTCGTAATAGAACTAAGATAAGGAATATCGGAATAAAATATTGGCCTAACCCTAACATGGTACATACACTACAGGAGTATCAAAAAACTACCCGACCAATGCTCAAAATAAGAAAATTAGTAATTATTCAGTAAGGGTTAAGAATGCAAATTTTAAAATATTTTTCAACCTTAATCAATTAATCACTAATTATTTATTAGAAAACGGGGGCAGGGGCGCTTCGAATCTCACATTTAGTAGCAGAGGCTTTGTATTGGTTCAAAGTACAGATACCAAAGAATGTTTGTACTAGTCATAAAAACTTTCATTATGGGAAAATAGTCAGAATTTTGAATTTTCCAAGGCAAAGGTTCCCGATTTTATTTATCCCTTTAATTTACCTCTTCAAAAATTTCAAAATAAAATTTACCCTTCGATTTTTCATATTCGAACTTTTAAAAATACGCATATTGATTTGAAGAATGAAAATGCCTTTGAATGAAAATAAATATAAAATTATCTTGTAAATTCTCAAAATCGATTGTGTTCAGTTCATATAACTACAATTAAAGTGCACTTAGGGATGGCCAATACCAAAAATTCACTAATTAAGAATACATTCTAAGTGAATTTTTTGCTTATGAAATATTGAATATATTTTAAAATAAGTAATACTAATAGAAGCTTTTCTTAATGCAAAAAGGAATTTACGTACAATAAACAGTACTCCTGAAGTATGCATACCAAGATGGTGGAACATAGTATGTGCACCAGGTTAGGGTTAGGTCATAATTTTAGGTACAAATACTACATGAGTCACTTGGCTATTCCCCGAACTGGTGATAGAACTAAAATAAAGAAAATTGGAATGAAATTGTGGCCTAACCCTAACCTGGTACACATACTACGTTCTGGTGTCCGCCATCTTGGTATGCATTACCTCAGGAGCACCCCAATAAACAATAGAATAACTGTTGCCACCAACCAGGCTATCAAAATTCAACAGTTATTTTTTTAATTTGTTTATTACCGGTTGTATGATTTACATACAAGAATGTGTTTGTTTCTATTGCAAGCATGTTACGAAAAATTCTCATCAGACAAAAAACAACCTAAATTTTCCATTATGAGCACCATGACATATGAAAACGATATTTTAAAATTTATAAATTGAAGATTATTGAGCGTTCAGTACACATAAGTACAGTTAAAGCACATATCACATGTGGCCAAGAACTGTTTTAAATTTTGCCACAATCGTTATTTACTAACACGCAATGCTATAGTATAGTAATTCAGATGCAAATATTTATTTCGTCGTGCATGAAATATTGTAACGACACAATTAAACAATACGCAAGACATTGCAATTGACGAGGGCAAGAAAGATCATTTTCATTAATGATTCCTAGTATAGTTCTTGGCATTTTAGGGGTTTGCGTAACTTTTCTCAGAGACAAATCTCTTCCTATATTTTTGAGGGAGTGTGTGACCTTACTCCGTGCAAATCTCTCAGGTAAAATATTCCTATTTTTACCCCCTCATTGAAACCCCTGGTCTAATAGGAGCTGTACTTTAGCAAGTAAACTTAATAGGCGTTTTGAAATAAATCGGATTGAATCAGACTTGTTGGCATGTTCTGGGATGGACTAGATATGGGCCAATAGTTGGATTAGGTGCAGGTTCGGCTTATGGGCACTGCCAACCTGTGACCATACTGGGCCTTCTATTTTACATACTTATTCTGTGTGTAGATTTTAAAAATTAATTAATAAAATTATTTTACTTGTTATATTGTACTTTAAAAGATACTGGAAAATTTTCATATTTGTTGAATATTATTATCTCTACCCAGATTGAGACCCAAGCATTCTTTATCCGCGGAAAAATGAACATAGGCTATCAATTATTGCAACAGTATTGCATCAGCTTTGTAAATAATCCTGGACACTTTGTACACAAAATGAGTCACCATTGGATATCACGCAGCAAATACTGTAATTTGAAATGTAATGAAATTTAATTTACTGGGTGCGATGGCAATGAAGCAGCTCCCTACATAGCATTGGTGGTTGGCGCAGAGCCCTTCCGAGTAAAATATGTGTAAATTTAGTAATAAAATGATCTTAATTTTTTTTCCTGCTTTATCACTTAGGTAAAAGTCTTTATTGTGAGATTTTGTGTGCATTTGGGGGTGGGTATTTGTTTACAGTGTGAACAATAGTCAGACAGGCGTACTCTACTGTAAGTTATTTATAGATGAGCGGCGAAAGATTATTTGATTTTACAATTGATTGGTCATGACACATGGCTCATGTCAATTTGAACCAGTTTAGTCACGCATTAGCCACGAGTAATGCTGAAGCCATTTGATCAGTGCCTTAGTAGGGTCTGCAGTCTAGATTTTAGTTGAGATGAATCTTCTATATGTAACCAGATGTCACTTTGGTTTGAGTTGTATAAAACCTATAGGTGAGTTTTAAAAAAAATGGTTTTTTCTAATACCTCGTTACAATTTTAAAATTTTATTATGAGGTCTGTTCTCAATGTATTTTAACCAAATTTTTTTTTATTCAAGTTTTTTTAGTTCATTCGATACACCAGTTCATGTTGGATATGGGTTAGTTTTTATTTATTTCAGATGTATGAACTTGATCCGTCATTGAACCAGTGCGATTATTTGAATCATCCTTTCAGAATAGTTCTCAACAACTGGAAATATCATATGATATAACAGCTACTATCATCAGCTCAGTTTTTCTCTTGACTATTTTGGCCACACAATATTCTTAGCCCCAACTAGATACTCACTAATTTGTTATTTATACCTAGTTAATAAAATAGATATTATCGGTTGGTTTATATAGTTAGTTAGTGCCACATTGGTGTAGTGAAGAGACAAGGTAAATACTGAAATATTCAAATCCTATCCTAATCACTGTTTTATGTCTTAAACCTGGACTTTCTGATTGATTGTAATATTCAGTTTCAAAGTAAGATAGAGTTTACATATATACAGTACCCCCAGGGGAAAGGAAAGTGGCTAAGACATCATTATTATCCAGCAAACCAACTGCTCTTGTCCAGTTACCAGTTCATGTCGGGTATGGGATTAGATAGCCAGTCATTTGTTTCAGATGCATGGAGTCGATGTGGTAGGAAGACGTAACTGAACAGCAGTTACGCAAACCACCCTACGGGGACGGGTTATCCAGCAATCCAAAGCAAAGGCAATAGTGGTTTTAAAAACTTTTATTAGGGAAAAGAAGTGTATAAAACAACACAGAATTTTCCAAGGCAGAGGTTTTCAAATTTTTTAATTCTCTCATTTACCTCTTTATTAATTTCAAGATTAAAATTTACCCCTCAGTTTTTTATATTTAGACTTTTACAAATACCCATAAGGACTGAAACGTGAAATAGCCTTTGAGTGTAAATAATTATAAAATTATCTTGTACATCTAAAATTGATTTTGTTCAGTTCATATAACTACAATTAAAGCACACCCTTTAGAACGCTCAAAAGTAAAATTTTCCTTTTTTTTTATTTTTACTTCTAAGAATAGATATCATGGCTCTCAAGTTGAGAAAGGCTTAGGGAAAGGGAATTGTTGAGCCATGAAAGTGATTGCTTTCAGTACACATAAGTATAGTTAAAGCACATATCATGTGTTGCACAATCGGTGTTTACTAACACACAATGTTATAGTGTAGCGGCCTGTGGTCCCCCTCATGGTTTTTTCTTGGAACATTCTTTTAGACATTCCTAAAATGGAACGAATATTGATAAATGTGAATTGATTAATCAGTAACTTATTTGGCAATTTCACAAGATGTCAAACTCATTGTTCACCATACATGTAATAAATCACATAGTCTCACAATTGACTGTTCTCGCCACGCCACTGTCATGAGATTATTTTTATTGTTGAGTTCTTTGTTCAGCAGAAGTGGCTTTCAAGTTAAGTTATTATTGAGTTAATTATGGTTAATTATGTTTATAATATAGAACCCTTGATTAGTTGTTATTGGTTTTAGAGCAAAAACCCAAATAGTGTTGAAAAGTTTTATATAGCAAAGGTTGTGTATCACATAGTGCACAGTTTTTTGAATAAGGGTATGTCTAAGGGGAGCTTTCGAGAAAAAATTGAATAGCTGTTGAGGCATAGCCTCCATAAATAATTTGTAAGTTATATTCGGATTATATTTTTTTTTGAGGGGAGTCAAGCTTTTGTGAAACAACATAACAGTTGCTGAGAAATAATCTTTGAAATAAATTACTGTAATGGCATATTTTGTACATAATTTTTTTCAAAGGGGCATGTCTGATTGGAGCAAAACTTTTGAAAAAAAAAAAAACCGTTGTCGAGAGATAGTCTTTGTAAATAATTTGGATTATGATTTTTTTTAATGAGGGTGTGTTTGAGGAAAGCCAAGCTTTTGTGAAAAAACTTAACAGCTGCTGAGTAATAGTCCTTTTGAATAATTTGAAAAGCATGTTCTGATTATGATTCCAAGCTGTTGAAGCTTTACCGCAGTGGTTGTCAAAAGGTGGGGTGCCCCCTATAAAGTACAATTTATGGAGGGGCCGCAAAGCAAATAAAAATATTTGCTAAATAAGTTTCTTTATTTTGTGTTTGTCTGGTTTAGGATTTACATATTTATTCCGAGGAGAGAGACAGGATGGCTTAGTCATATGGCGAACCACGGCCTCTCGTCTGGTTACCGGTCCATATCAGGTATCGGATTAGTTAGTTATTTGTTTTCTCAGGCATATACGTGATGGTGGAGGAAGTCGTAACCAACCAGAGCTTACATGAATTACCCTACAGCGGCAAGGAGTCCAGCAATCCTCTCGCACATAACTATTCCCACATGAGATTCGAACCTGCGAACCCATGCAAGGTAATCAGACGTGCGATGACAAGCGTATTCCTAGCGCTTAGCATGATGCGCCACATCCCAATGCATACATATGCATTCATATACAGAAGTATTCTCTTGTGTGAAATGCTGAATACTAATTGTTTTGTCACATAAACATTCATTTATAGATATAAATATATATATACATATAGAGTGTCTGTGATTACGTATTCCATCAATACTGTTGCTGGGGTGAGCCTGGACATCGGATTCTTGTTTTTGAAGAAATTTTTGGAAAATAAAAACCTAATATTTGATTATTGGTGTTCATAACAAATCCACAAATATTTGTAGAACACCGAGGATAATCACACGAGCAAAAATCATGGTTGAGCGACGCTTGGCAATAGTTGGAATTATGGCAGCACTGTGCATACAACTGGCCAACGGAAAACCTGTAGCAGAATATGGGCCAGTCTATGAAAAGGACACATGTAAGGCCGACTACATCAAAACAACCGATTGTAACACGATTGAACTCGACATCTTTAACGATGAATATTGTTGCAAGAAATGCCCTAATCTACAACAGAATCTGGACCCAGAACACAGCAATAGTTGTTCTTAGTGAGTATTATTTAGTTGAACGAAAAATACATTGTGTTCATAAGGTTCTGTATCAAATTAGGTAAAAGAACTTTGTCCAACTAATCGTGGTCATAAAAGTGAGTTTTTTAAAAGAATAAAAATAAAAAGGAGAATATCGGTCGGAGACCCAAGACTTATCGATCATAACTGCGGTTTCGATTCATGACTCTATAGTGACACCGCGTGTCCCATCTCTAATTAATTAATAACTCGCTAATTATACGACATAATTCATCATATAGGCTTCTGGTCCTAGATATGATGAATGCACATGCAAAATTTGGAGCTGATTCAACTCCGCCTTTGTGAGATACCGCGTTCATCTAACAGACAAACAGACAGACAAATACCTATCAACATACTTACCGATCTTAAGATCGATAAGTAACAAATTAAATATTAAAAAAAACTGTTTGAGATATATTGAGAACTGATTTCATAACAAAATTTAATAAATAAATTAGTAGAACAATTTACCTCTGACTAAAAAGTAAACAATTCTGCCTGTCATCCTTCACTGCTCACACATCAGATTTGGCTTGGCAGTGTGGCAGATTGTGCTCAGTGTAAAAGTTACGCTTGTCTGCGCACCTCTCATTACCCTGTGTTGATTTGCAGGTTTGAATCCCATGGAGGATAATTATATGATAGTACAGGCCTTTTCGGCGCCGTTCATGTAATAGCTTTTCGGTTGTGGATCTCTTGATTCCTCCCTACTATACAACATTAATGTTACTCATCGATCTCGATAAGTATGTTGTTAGGTATTTGTCTGTCTGCCTGTTAGTCACTTTCGTATGTTGCGCAATATCTCACGAAAGCGGAGTTCAATCTGCTCCAAATTTTATATGTGCATTCATCATATCTTGGACCAGAAGCCTATTGATTTTGGATGAATCATGTCGTATAATCAGCAAGTTATTGATTAATTAAGTAATTTTTATTTTTTATAATTAGCGGGTTATTAATAAATTAATTAATTTTTTTTTTTGCGGAAGATCGATAAGTCGGCGGCCTCGGATCGCTAGTCTGTTAGACACTTTCGAATCGCGATATCTCACGAAAACGAGGTTGAATCTGCTCCAAATTTTGCACGATAAAACATTTATAATAAAATAATAAATAAATGCCTAATATTTAATCATATTTTAGTTATGTTTATCAAAATTCTGCTAATTTTCACGGCTCACTTAGCAACTCGGCGCACCGTTTAGGAACCGCTGGGTTAAGTAATAACAGAATAAAATTCTAATCAATAGTACTCTGCCAAGATATATCATGTTTATTCAATTTTTTATCACAGCATTAAAGAGCAACCGACGACCGAGTTAGAAAACACAACTCCCGAACCTTTTACTACTGCTATTATAGAAACAACGACTGCAGCTGGGACAACAGCTTCGGATCTACCAGATGGTAAGTCAATCGATAAAACTATCATTTAATACAGAGGTGGACAATTACTTTCCTGAGCCAGTTGCAAATAAAAGACTAATAATAAGAAGCGCAATGTAACAGTTGACATGATTTTCAACAATATTTTCAACAAAAATTTATATTCATAAAAACTATAGTCTTAATTCCAGTAGGCACAAGTGAGTCGGATAAAACACTTCGGTGGGCTGGGTACTGCTCGCTGGCTGTAATTTGCCCATCCCTGATTAAATACAAATGAGTTACGAGTGCAACGATTTTCACATAGAATTGCAGTAAGTACAGTGCAGGAGTTTGAAAAGTTTCCATCCAAATTCGATTACAGTAGGTTTGCTTGTTTGGTAAACTTGCTACACTTAAAAGATCATTTTGTTTTGCGCCTTCGTCAGTATTAGGTTTGCTTACATATAAGTTTATAGTTTATACCAGATATTTTCAAAGGGGGGTTTCTGAAGTTTCTAATTGCCAAGTTGAAATTTTGGGTGCCAAATTTCAGTACTTTTTGGGTGTTCAATTTTAACCACATATTCTTTATTTTGAATTAATGGCTTTATTAACTTTGGATGTGGGAAGATCACCATATAGAATATAACTTATTACTTATCGATTTTAATCGGTAAGTATGTTGATAGGTATTTGTTTGTCTGTCTGTCTGATAGATGCACGCGATATCTCTCACGAAAGCGAGGTTGAATCTGCTCCAAATTTTGCATGTGCATTCATCATAGCTCGGATCAGAAGCTTATTGATTTTCGATGAATTATGTCGTATAATTAGCGAGTTATTAATTAATTAGTGATAGGACACACGGTGTCACTATGGAGTAAGAGCGCTGTTTTGGGGGATCCCCTAACCTTCGATCGATAAATCTTCGGTTTAATAACTCTTGTATTTATAATTCTGGAGGTTTTTCGTCATTTACTCATATTCGCACTTTATTAAAAGAATATTGAAATCGTAATGGACAACAGAATAGCACTGTTTCGATAAACAAATAATCACTAGCTGGGGGGGCTATGTTTAGAATTCTGTTTCGTTAGTCTTCCACAAAACATTTTTTTGTCAACTCTCGAATCTCAAAGTTGGAGGCACTGGAATTTACATATTTATCCTGGGGAAAGGAAAGTCAATAAGATGGCTTAGTAATGATAGATGGCTAATCTTTGATAAAAATATTTGAGTAGCCCTGCCACAGTAGCCATTTTTATCATTAAAAACTATGTTTTGACAACCAGTCATGCAAGAAAATGATGGATGTGATGGCCTGGGATCCCAAGCTTTTTTCAGGACGACCCTAAATACAACTTTCAAGTGGCCAGTGCGACCCCAGGTCAATGTATATATTTTTCATGAAACCTCAGAGATTCTTTCACTGGACTTTTGAGTTTAGTCATGTGGTGGTATTGGTAAAATAAGCTAAAACCATACAGTGATGTCACAATAAGCACCTGCATTTTCTATAGCATAAGCATAGAGCGAGCATAGTACAAACTGCTAAATTTATCATGGTTTGTTGAATCCTAGATGTTCTGTACATCCATCCTCTACCATACCTCAGCGACCCCATGAACTGTTTGCGACCTTACCTACTTATCACTCCGACCCAATTTGGGGGCACGACCCCTGGTTTGGGAACTTCTGGCCTAGAGCAGGGGTGGGCAAGATTTTTGAACCAGGGGCCAAAAATTTTGCCTACCTAGACTGGCGGGCCATGTAAGTGTGATGAAAAAGGTTGCATTTCATGAACAATATTTGCACTGTTACAAAAGCAAAGATGGAAAACAATAAGCCTTGAGATGAAACCAAATTTAATCCCAGGCTCAACAAAATCCTTGAGTTATTTTTAGTTGCTTGACATCAAAATTTGGTTTTAGTGGTTGTAGCAGCATCAGGTGGGCTAGATTGAACTACTCAATGGACCAGATTTGGCTCGCGAGCCATAGATTGCACATGGGTGCTCTAGAGAATGGGTGGGCAATTTCTTCTCCCGGTGGGCGAGTTTCAAGTAATACATTTGGTTACTTAGCTGGAGGCTCAAAACTCAATATGAAAAACTATGAATGAAAACCTGTTCATTTACAAGAATTAGTTTAACAGTCAGATTAACATTTATTATAATAATAAGACACACAATGTAACAATCAGGGCCAATTTGACTCTATTTTCATTGATATTTTCGATGGGAATTTGTATTCATAAGAACTATAGACATGATTTCTAAATAAAGTATAGTCATCAAATGGAACACTTTGATGGCCAGGATCCGGGCCATAATTGCCCACCCCTGGATTAAAGATTTAAGTGACAGATTTCAGCATGTTTGTGCCACAGTTGCAAACTATGAGCGACCACTAAAATCGCAAGACATACTGTAACTAAAAACCTACAATATTCAATAAAATATTCAACATTGCAATTTCTTTCAGATCCCGAAACTACGGGAGTTTCATTTCCAGAAGAAATCACTTCTGAACAAGCTAACACTATGAGGGATGAAATTGATCCACCGGTTACAGCTACAAATTTGCCTGGCGCAACCATTGCAGCGATTGTTGTCAGTGTGATTATTATTGGTGTGATAATAGCAGCCCTAGGAGTGTATTACTACCGCAGAAAAAATGCTGGCTATTGCAGAAAATTGCTGAAAATTTGCAGAAAAAAGGATGCTGCATCAAAAGCTCCTTCACTCGTAGAAGAGTCTTCACTCGTAGAAGAGCTTTCACCCGTAGATCAAGAAACTGCTAGTGTTAGTGATCCCCTGGTGTCCGATACACAGCAGGCAGATGATTAACAGTGAGAATTGTCGAACTTACTCATATTTTCCAAAGTCTCGTTGTTTGTTTTAGAACATTTACAGAACAATTCAAGTTATTATTCAAACATTTATTCTTATTTTGATGAACAAAATCAATAAACTCGCTCTGTATGAAGTTGAGCGGAGATGGAGTCCGATTTAAACTTTATTTATTATAGAAATATTTCTTTCAGTGATCTTTTATAGTTTACAAATAATCAAGCTCTAAGAGTATCCGAATAATTCTAATTTTTGTCAAACAAAGCCCTATTGAAATTTACTCGTGTTAGAATGGAACTAGTCCCTTGAATCATTAGTTTTAAATTTTTTACTTTTAACTTTGCCTATAAAGGTATTTTATAATGGTACTCAACGAAAATATTGTATAATAGTGGTTATGTATGCTCATACACTATGTGTCTAAGTCAGGGGTTCCCAACTTTCATTCTAATTTTTATCCTTAAGTAAATTTCATCCCCATACTGCCTAGAATGTCTCATATTAGCTGGAGATAACAAAAAAGAAATGAAAAATGCTATGCGGGCACACTTGGTCATGTACTTTCTGGCTTTTGGAATTTACCCCCAATGAAGATCAAATTTCCCAAGCAACTCACCCTACTCCCTTCCTCACGAAGCCCCCCCACGGGCTAAATTTTCCCCTGACTGAGAACCCCTGGCCTGAGGAGTTTAATATAGATCATTAACATATCATTGCATTTTGGTAATCAGTATTAAAGATGGGTTACTTACACAAAAAAGATAGTCGTATCACATAAGCAAAAGCTAATATTCATTCATTTTAAAAAAAAAGACTCATTCATATTTATCTTGTGAGAGAGGAAAGGTGGGAAAACAGCCTGGATTCCATAATATTTTTTGTTAAAAATGGCTTCTGTAAAAATCCTTCTGTAAAAATTGCTATTTTATTATTTATTCACAGTGTTTGCTTACCTACTATATTATTTACTAGTATTTGTTGCTAAGAATTTTTTTGTGGGAAAATTTTCTTTTAACGTGATTATTTGGCACCAATTCTTTCAAAAATACTAATTGAGGAAACTTTGAGCAAAATTTGTACATGCTATCTTTGTTTCTGTATAGTTTTGACAGAAATTGTATAAATTTTTTGCTGGAAACTTTTGCCACCACTGATTGCTCGCCAATTTATTATCCTTATTTTTGAGCTGCTAGGACCAATGCCTTTGTTTTACTCAATCCGACCAAATATCAATCCATTTTTTTACTTAAAACATTTTTACTTCAACAAAAACAGATAGGTTACACAGAATAATTGTTCAAATTCCACAAAAATGTAAAAATTGTTCTTGCTTGATTTGTGTCTTGTGCTCGTTTCTTGTATTGCTGTGTGGCACCATACTATATACTATAATTTATACAAAGCTTTCACAAGAATAGTCATTCTCAATTTGGGTTCTGAGGCATCCTTGGGTTCCCCAGGGGTTCCGAATTTCACATTCAAATTCGGAATTTAACGTTATTGCATTATACGAAATGGGATTTTTTCTTGTACATATACCTGATACTATTGCACAGGGGTTCCCAGAGCCACTGGAATGTTTCATTAGGGGTACTAATCCACCAAAACGGTTTTAAACCAATGCAATAGGATTTATTGTAGCTTAATGAGGTATAGAACTTAGCTTGTCTAGTTTCTGATTCCATTGAATGTGATTTTCCCTTTTTTTCTTGTAGTAGAAATGTTGCTTTAATTGTTTTACTTACAAGTTACTCAACTTTTAAGACCACTAATCCGAAAAATGTGCTTTATATATTCTTCTAAAAAAATGCACTGTATATGATCCCTACTTTACCATTTGTAGCTGTGATTAGATTAAAAGTAGTACTATATTATTCATTTCACTGATGTACTATTGGGCCATGACCAACACCCACCTTAAATTGTATTACGACATTCTGGTGCTCTGATAGAATTTTTTGTTTATTCGTTAATCTGACTGAAAATTTGCATGACTTATTAGCTCAATGCCAAGCATGTTTTATCACAAGTTTGAGTATTCGGTGCTCCAGAAGTGTGTGTACCAATATGGAGGTAACTAATTTTGTTCACCTACTTACATCAAGTTGTGTAAGAGACGGAAACCTATGGGCAGGGGGTATATTCACTTGACTAACACAGACAGTCCCTGAACTCGTAAAAGAACTAAAATAGAGAAAATCAAATTAAAATTATGCCCTAACCTGGTACACACACTACGGTACCGTATTTACATAATATTTAATGTGGATTGACCATATAAAGTATTTTTTAGACTACCGTATACGGCACACTTTAAATTCTTTTTTTTTTAAAAATCGATAAGCCACCGACATTGTGCCTTATTGTTCTTAAAATACGGTAGTTCTTTTATTTCTCATGTTTTAAACTTTATTTGAAGTTTGGTGATTTTGTCCAGTGTTTTAGGATTTTAATGTGTGATGACAGAGTTAAAAGATTTATCTTACTTTATTCCTTTTTGCAAGCAATTAGTTACTTTATCGCAGAGAATTTACTGATCTATAAGCTTTGTTTCGTCTGTGTAATATTTGCCTGTATACTTGCTTTCAGTTTTTGAGTTACACCATTCATATTTTCTATTAGTTGCCAACTTCTTTTCAAGAACAAGACAGACTGCTTTATAAACTATATACATCAGTGGTTCTCAAACTTTTTACGCCCCCTTTCACCCCCTTCTCGCGCCCCACCTCAAATACCCAGCTAACAACAATCTACAAATAACAGATAGTGAAGTGAAAGTATGTTTTATTCAAAAAACATGTTGAAAATACGTGGATGGAACGTAAATATTCAAAATAAGACGGGCAAGATCGAATCTAACAAATATTTTTATTTTTGATTAGTTTCCCCTCAAATAATTGTCTATGCTCCGTCTTGTGGGACACGCCCCACCATTTGAGAACCACTGTTGCACAAGTTTATATGTCGGCAACACAAATTGGTGCTATTTATCTGAGTTTGTTAAAAAAAGTTAGAGAATATTTGACCGCTTGTAATAATCATTGTTTACTGTAAATTGCGAACCTGGGGGGAGCTGACTTTGAATACTGCATGTTGTATTGTATCATTCCCGCCCATGTACAATGGGAAGATATTTTTTTTGTTGTTTTTTTTTCATTATTTTTTGGCTGTTTTATTTTTATTCTGGTTGGTTAACAAATATCCAAACCCTCTCTCTCTGATCATTTGCTGCCTATAGTCTCACTCGTGCTAACTTTACTACATTACATGACATGAATTGCTGACGCTGTTTCCCTCTATTACATATATTAGTCGTATGAGCATGAAACGATTTTTTTGTTGTTGAGAATTTCGCACCATTCAGTACAATTTTGATTATTGTGGGAACCATTTCTTCATGTTATGTCTCTTGGTAATAAATTTCATCATTTTCGTCATTGTTTTGGGGTTGGAAGAGATATATGATAGGATTTCCATTATTATCTTGGGGGAGAGGAAAGCCGATAGGACGGATCAATTATATGAATAACTAACTGGCTATCCTTCAAACTTTTATGATGCGTATGTATCCATTTTGCTGCGAACATGGCTCTGTACATTCATTAACGGCTAGGTGTGGAAGGTGACGAATTCTCCCAATTACCAATCCACGTCGGGCTGTTCATGAACCACTCTACGAGCACGGCGGGGAGGAGTCTAGTAATCCTCTCGCACATAATTATCCCAGTGAAATACGAACCTGTAAACTTACATAGGGTAATTAGAGATGTTATGGCTCAGCACAAAGCTTCGAGCCTGGGGAGAGGGAAGTTAATATGACGGATTGGTTATACTTTAATTTTTTTTACGTATATGTTCACCTTTTGTTGTGAACAAGGCTCTTTACATTCATTCACTGCTAGACAGCAGGTACAGGGAGATAGGGTAGGATTTACATATTTATCCCGGGAAGAGGAAAGTCGATAAGACGGCTTAACCATATGCCAAACCACGGCCTCTCGTCCTGTTACCATTCCATGTCGGGTATGGGATTAGTTTTAGTTATTTGTTTTTCGGAAGCATGGACTTGATGGTGGCGGAAGCCGTAACCGACCAGCGGTTACGTGAACCACCATACGACGGCGAGGAGTTCAGCAATCCTCTCACACATAACTACCCCGCATGGGATTCGAACCTGTGTGGCGGGACTGGAATTGTCCTATTTTTTATTGTTTTGTATTTTATTTGTATTTAGTGTCTAGTTGTTGCATATGCATTGGTGTGTGGAGTCTGAGCCCTAATTCGCCCGATAGTTGGTTTCAGTTGCTCGACTCCAACCACCACTGCATATGTGAACTGCGCTGCGGATTCGCAGTGTCAACCTCTTCTTGCTTCTGCTGTCTCTGGATATGAACCGTATTTTGTTGCTCTTGTCTTATCTGCTTTAAGCGTGGATTTTACACTATTCTAACTCTTTGAACTCTGAGCGAAGTTACTCGCTCACCCTGAAGGTTCGCAACGCCGTATTGGTAGAACAATAAAATAAGTCTAAATACTGGCTATTTGGCACGCTTATAATTTTTTTTAATTTTGGGAAGCACGTTGTGTGACATTTCAATCGAAAGAAAATTTTACTGCCAATAATTGATGTTCATAAAGAGTTCTTTATTATAAGCTTTTTGTTGATATTTGAATTATTATTGTGGCTGTCATATAACCAATTTTATATTTAAATATCCAATTGTGTATCATTGTGCCGGGTGAACAACTTCGATAAGCGGCCATGACGCACTGATTACGCAGCTACGCAAAAGTTGATCACGTGACTAACGACATGAAGATGTTGATACATATGTTCGAAACGTATTGCGTGGCAAAACGCGCAAGATAACTTTTACGACGACGTTCTCAGCGGGACATCGGTCGCCGAGTTTCGATAAGATATCAACCCTGTATGGATTGAAGCACCGACGAAACACACGTTCGGAGATATGAGCCAGCGCAACGCGAGAGAGTGGAAATAACATGCCCAGCAGCAGTGAAAGCTTACAATTCATTCATGGGAGGGACTGATAAAAACGACCAGTTGACACGCCTACAAAAGTGCAGGAGGCATTATGAATGGCCAAGACATTTAGTCATGAAGTTTTTCATGTGGGCGACGTACAATTCCTACGTCCTAATGAACTTTGTCAAACCTCACAATATGAGAGGAAAAAGAGTATTCACAATCCAAAATTTTCTAAAACAACTATTTGAATATCTCGCTGAAAAAAAAAAAGATGTTGACGAAAAAATGCAAGATTGTGCAACCACAAGAAGATTTAACAGATATTAAAAGAATGCAACTAAACGTACGACACGACATATATAAACCGCAAAACGCCTCTTCCAATAATAGATGCGTCGTCTGCAGCAAAATTTACAGTATTGCCAAAAAAGCCAATCCAGCTGCTAAAGACAAAGACTTGCCGAACGATGCAAGACAGTATATAAGTGCAAATACTGTAAAGAGTACCTATGCATAAGTAACGAAACCAACAACCATTGGTATGACTGGCACAACAAAGTGCAATATTGGATTTAGAATGTGTCTTTTATCTGCATAATAATTCTCATGTTCTTCATTGTTCCGAGCACAACAAAGTGCAATATTCAATTCAAAAAATTTAGCAAGCAGTCTTTTATGTGCATACATAAAATATACATACAAATAAATCATACATACATTGCATTTCCGTAATGAACGTAAAGTTGTGCGTGA